CACCCAGTCCAGGTCTGTCGTCATAAAATGCAAATGAGCACATCGTATTGACGGCTGAGTGCAAAAGTGACTATAATATCCACTTTACACAGTTTCGAAAAAAAGAGTTTGAAATTTTGACCATTTTGGATTCTACATAACATAGTCAAAAAAAAAAGAAAAAAAGAAAAGAAACGTTAATATTATATCGATGCCGAATCAAGCTAATTTGCGGAGGTTAAAGGGCAGCTTAAAATCTCACTACCCATATCGATTACTGCATTTCGACCAAAAGTGAATATGTGAGGCAGCGTAGTGAAATCAGGCGCTCGTCAAAATAATGAAATCGAAGAAAACGACTTTTTTCTTCCTCTCTTTTTGCTCAACGTCTTTTATGTCCATTAAAGTACATTAGGCCTAATGTGTAGATTTTACTGGAAAACGTTGATTAAAGGCATAGAAAATGTATAACAGTTTCCAAAGACTTTAAAGCTTTTGAAGTCACCAAACTTTGGCGGCCATTTTCTCACTTATTTTACCCCTGAAACAAGGCAACCCCCACCTCCTTCAATTGCAAATACCTCGATTCCATAAGCCCAAAAATTGACGAGTGCCTGATTCCACCACGTTCGGACACATATACATGTAGTCACTTCAAGGGCTCACGATCAGCTATCGTGGACAGAAAAAGCACTAATGAATATTAATATGGTCGACAAGTCTCAATGTGACAAAAAAACGAGTCTACTCGTAGGATAAAACCGACCTTGAATTGCTCTATGGTTGCAAAAAGAATTTTTTTTTATATTCACAAAACGAAATAGATCTGTAGTTACCCATGACTAGGTAGTTGATAACAATGTAAAAATGCATATTTGTATGGAGATGGTAAGAACAAAGTGTGATCACAGATGGGTTAGATCACAATTAATTAATCATCCGTGATAAAGATAAGTTTTCAACTCTTGGGTCAAAGCTTCTGTGGTTCTATTATATTGGAAGGAAGAATGAAAGAGTGAGTGAAAGAGAGATAGACAGACAGACAACAGGCTGACAGACAGACAGACAGACAGACAGACAGACAGACAGACAGACAGACAGACAGACAGACAGACATTAAATTTTGTTTGTATGTCTCTGAGTTAAGACACATTAATGGTCATGTAGTGCTGGGAAAGTAAGACAGACAGATTTAGGAATATAAAGAAAGGAAGAAAGGACCTGCAATAGCGCCCTTCCACCACCCACATAGACAGGCAAACAGACTGAGAGACAGACTGACAGACAGACAAACACACAGGCAGACACACAGAACGAAGGAATAGAGAGAGAGAGAAAGAGAGAGAGAGACAGAGAGAGAGAGAGAGAGAGAGAGAGAGAGAGAGA